CCCCACACCTCATTTCAGTGTAAGGGCGAAAACATAGAAAACGCCGATTTCGGAGACTGTCTCAGCATAAGTGCCGATAGGTATAAAAATTCCCTTATGATTTCCAACTTGCCCCACATAGAGCTGGCAGACTGAATGCGACTTTAAGCACCGATCGGCGTTGTCGGCTTTATCGGAATCCAAACTACATTCTTTAACGAAAAACTGGGAAGAGCGTCTCGCTGTCAACTCAAGACCCCAGTGCTTTCTTTTTTGTATTTCTCTATTATTTTTTTTAACAGTGAAAATGTGACTTCTTCTTAAGCTCACTCTTTGTTAAGAACTGTTTTCTCTGTTATTAAAAATGGGGATACAACAAGAAAGCACTGAGGTCGAGAACTCTCAATTCTGTCTCGCCGTCACCAACTCTGGGCGGTTTGCGTGACGTCACACAACTGGACTGGGGACAATTCTAAATGTTCATTTCAGAGCTGGTGCTTCACGTAGACAAAAAACTAATTACTTTTTTAAAATCACCTTTGTCAAATTAGGGTGGTCATTGAGCAGAATTACATTTTAAGCAATATCTTAGGAAATTCGTGTTTTTCCCTCTAATAAAATACTTCATAAAAACCAACTTTGTTGTGTAATTTTTTTCTTAGATCTAGATCTAGATCTAGGCCTTAAATTTTAAGCAATATTTTACGAATTTCGAGGTTTTTAAAACAATTCCCAAATAAATTCTTCATAAGTACCAGCTGTGTTATGGTGTAATTTATTTCTTTTATCTAGATCTAGGCTTTAGGCGCCCTCTATGTGGAGTCAAGCAGACACCTACTGGCGCCTGTCAATTGTCAGCGTCGATCTTCAGCCGCATAAGTTTCGGCGTTCTCTATGTTTTCGCCCAAAGCTTGTAGATTTCATCCCGAGCTGTTTAGACGTCTCCACGTGAGTCTCGAAAATCACTCACTACGTCTCTTAATCGTGTTTCCTAAGCGCGAGTGCAGAGTGTGGTGTTGGGGAAAATAATATTATGTCAACTCATAAATGGTTTAGGTGTATGCTGTGAATCCCCTAATAATATACTCTTTAAGCTTTTCCAAAAGAAACTTGACACATTTTCTTTGAACATATAATACTATTAAATCGAAACGGGTTATGATGATTATACAGTGCAGTGTGTTGGTTTTACTGTCTTCTGAATCAATTTTGACAACACAACTAAGTGAGTTCACTCACTTCTGTGTGTTTAGTATGATTTCATTTTTAACTTTTTTATTCTGTTAAGCATGAATTTTCTGTGTTGTCTTTGCTATCAATGTGTAGCTTATTTCAAAACCTACAAAAGGTGTGTAATAAGTTTATGAACACTTTGTTTGCATTTGAACTGCGAGCTTCAGAAATCTAGAAAAATATCGACTTTCAATTAATGTGCCGCGTCTCAGTTCAGAGGAGCGAGGGCGCGCTGTTGGGCTTCTCGAAGCAGGCGTTCCCGTGGCGGATGTGGCAAGGATTTTTAACTGTAGCCGACCAGGTACATAGACACAGGAAGTACCAGAGACCGGCCAAGATCAGGGAGGCCGCGGGGAACCACCCCGGCACAGGATCGGTATATCCGCACCACCCACCTGAAGGACACTTTCCAGTATACAACCAGAACCCTCCCGCAACACCAACCAGTGAACACACGGACAGTTATAAATAGTTATATCGTCTCAGGTCCTTTTCACGGATGAGTCTAGATTTGTCCAAGGTCGCTACTGGTCGAGAGCAGGTATATCGCCTTCGAAATGAAAGGTTTGCTGACCAGTGTGTAAATGAAATCCTTAACCAGGGATATGAGTAGGTGATGGTCTGGGGCGGAATCACAACAGACCACAGGACGAAACTGGTAAATGCTCCGACAGCATAGACGCGCGCCAATTACGTATCCACCATCTTGTAGTCACATGTGGAACTGATTTTTCAGAACCATCCAGGTTACACCTTGCATCAGGACAGCGCCCGAGCC